GGTAATAAATTAAAAGATTTTTTAGATTTTAAAAAAAGCTATAGAACTTAAAGGATATAATAGGACTTCTTTAACAACTGAAAATTTGGAAAAGATAAAGCAAATAAAACAAGGAATGAATAAAAATAGAATATCTGATGATAACGAAAATAAAAATTACTAGACTCTAACATCTCAAGTCGCTACCCTTCAATAAAAAGCAAAGGATCTATAAATAAAAGACATTATTCCTCTACTGCAATTATTAGTAAAGAGCAACCTAATTTCGCCGGTTATCGGAGTGAGGACACTGTCTCTGCTGGAGCGAGTCACCTGTGGCTGGTGACGACAAGAGTTTCCATAAACCCGCCGTACAACATTTCTATGTTTGCTGTTGTTGGAGGTCCTATACTGGGATTATCCTCATGATTAATGGGGTTTGTGGAGAGCTACAGGTTGAGGCTTGGTGGACATGTATTTCCCCTTATGAAGGTTCTGTACGTAGTTATGATATGAAATACAACAAAAAGTTTCCTTCCTTTCTGTCCCACCTCTGTGATTAGATTCTACCTACAGAGAGTGGGGTGATGTGGGGATTTCACTAATACGAGTAGATTGACTGTAGTTGAGGGGGTGTTGTGAGTAATCGAATCTGTAAGCTGTAGATTTAATAACACAAATTGCTTTCCTCCAGTCTTTGGGTTCTCGCTTTGGGAAGGTAGCCTGACTTATGGGCCCTTGGCATGCGCTGGGTGCCAGCCCCCAATGACCACAAAAGGTCGGGGGCCTTTCCGAGTCCAGACAAGAAGTGTTAAAGTGGTAGACTACTGTATCAGCTGTGGTTCAGCAGAAGAATGCCTGCTATGATACTTGTAATATACCTGTCTCTCTCTCCCCTCGCCCACTGGGTATAGTACTGTACAAGCCTGATCGCCATATGATACCTTTTCAACACCGGGAACCCTATAGTCAAGTCCCGATCCTCGCCATCACTTGAAGCCTCAAGTTAACGTATCACAAGCCGGGATATCATTAGGTAGTGCTAGTCTCCCGAAAGGGTAAAATCCGCCTCCCCGTGTCATCCTTCTGTTAAACTAAGGCATGGGTTAGGGCGGAGTATGTGAAAGTCAGATGGTTGAGGGGGGCTGCGGAGGGTTGGAGCCCGCTCCCTCGGAGGGCACCATACGAGTCGTACAGTATCATATCATTCAGCTGGCGGTGATTCTCCAGCATACGATGAGACCAAATATATGATACCCAGCGACCTGCATATCATACGTATGTAAGAGTATCTAACCCCAATACCGGTATCCCTCAAACACCTCGACCTTGGCGATCCATGGGAGATGGAGCTTTAGCCATCATATGATACGATAAAGTGCCGTCGCAATGCCCATCCGTCCACTAACCTTTACCATACCTGCAGTCTATACCCTCGAATAAACTAAACTAATGGATCACTTCCCGTGAACCTTTGAAGCCGGGGGGAGTTTTTTTGTTTGTTTTTTTTCCAAACTCTATATCGCCACATTGGGAGAATCGTTCATTCAGCCACACATGGGTGAAAGCAATCATCACAAAGTATGATACCCGTGCCGGTCGGTCTATTGATGACGCGGGTTTAGAAAAAAAATTCGAATTCAGAAAACCGCAGCATATCGAATGTCACCCAATGCATGGTTTTGGTTCCAACTGCCGCCAACCGGCTAATTTAAGTGTGGGGTCCCGATCCTGTGCTGAAGGGATGGGTCCTTTCCTTCGGGATAGTATTATAAATACATCGGGAATGGAGTATCACTATCGCAGGGGCTCCTACGAGTACGGCATGGTATTTTACCTGAATGCGGTGTTGGTTGGAGGACTCTTCAACGATTCTTTCGCATCATACTGTTTCCCCGATAACCGCAGTGCAGCGTAAATCTGTAAAAAATAAAAAATAAAATAAAAAAAAGACGTCTCCCCGGAATCTGGCTACTATAGCATGAACCCAGAACTATTTATTATATTATCATAGTCTACGTCAAGATCCATTGTGATTATTGTATTATACAGAGGCGACTCTCGAACCCAGGTCATTGCCGTGACCGTTGTGAGTGGGGATGAGGGTGTCGTGTTGGAGGAGGAGCTGCGAGTGGGCAAGACGCGTTAATCCGGGATGCCGCTGATCGGCATGAGCGCCCGTGAGACCCATGGTATTATAGTGATTTTAGGATTCATGCTTGGGTGGAGGGTTGCGAGGGGCTACGGGCCTGGTTAGTGATTTTCAGTTAGGAATTGGTTGGGGTGGTGTTGGCTTGCCACTGGGACGCAATGCTGTTTAGGCGCACATACTTGTACCCTCAGGGTGGAGTCTAGTGTTCACGAATAAAACTACTCCAAGACCGGTAACAATCCCGTCAACCCCAAGACCCGAGCCTATGATAACACCCCGCACGGAACCTTCAGCAACAGCTCTTAAAAGTTGGGGCGGGGATTCTGGTGGACTTGTGGGGGGGTTGGCAGTAGTATGATGCAGCGCTGGTATGTACCTGTGCCGTGCCGTACAATCATACCGGCACTGATATTCCTGCTCTGGATGGAAAAAAAAAATTAAAATTGTCCGAGGGATATCCCGGTATGCTGCCCAAGGAAGTAGCCACCTACCACTATGGGTACCAACCCACCGACTCGAGATGGCATCGAAGAACATTCCCCGACTAATTAGTCTACTCGTACAGAAGTCAACCAGTCAATTGGCCGTTGCCAAGCAAGTACTTGTAACCTCTATTACGGCCAATGATTGGCATATGAACATACTCGAGTACAGTACTGTTACTAAGCCACAATGAATGTCCTGCTCCTCCGCATGTCCCACGCCATATCCGAGTACCGCTAGCACAATCTTGGCAATAGCTCCCTGCCACCTTACCCCTGCCCAAGAGCCGCACAAAACTTTAATTCACAAAAAAAAAAAAGGAAAAGACTCTCCCCAAACTTCAAATCCCCACCACGTTACTAGGCGACCCCGTCCCCGACACATCCAGCCGGAGAGATGGAGGATTCCCCACCGGAAACAATTGGGCGGAGGAAAGGTGGTGTGATGGGAGATGGAAGGAAAAAGCGCAAGAGGGACAAGGTAGAGGCTGAGAGTGGGGAGGACGGAGTTGATTGAGAAGAAGAGAGAAAAGAGAGAAAAGAGAGAAG